CATCCATCCATCCATCCATCCATCCATCCATCCATCCATCCATCCATTATTGAAGTTAAACTAAAATGGTGGTGGCCGGCTGGTTTTGGGGGGTTTGTGTTGGGTGTGTTGTGTGTGTTTTGGGGCTTTGTACTGACACTTTCCGGTGTGTTTGTGTTTTGTGACACTTTCCGGTGTGTGTGTGTTTTGGGGCTTTGTACTGACACTTTCCGGTGTGTTTGTTCTCCAGCAGAAGGCGGGATGTCGGTGACCATGAGTCGGGCCGAGGGCGTGGCCGTGTTCACGCTGACCTCTGACCCCCAGAGCCGGTGGCCCCCCCTGTGCCAGATCCTGAAGGCGCTGTGCTACAGCCCCGCCTGCTGCTCGCTGTCCCCGGCCCTGAGGGGGCGCCAGAGGCCCTCCCTGTCCATCCTGGGGGTGAGCCGCCTCATAACAAGGATTAGGGAAGCTAATAGGAAGCCCGCTAACCAACTGGAAAAGGGGGTTTAGGGAAGTTAAGGAGTCCTGACCGAGTTTTTCTTCAGAGTTCTGATGCTTTCCCTCCAGAATCAGCTCTGATTTCTACTAAATCAGCTCTGTTCCAGCATCCATTTACACTAAAATGACAGAAAGATGTCAGGTTTTACTCAAGATGCTGTTATAATCCTAGTAATTCATTTGGGAATCAGATAAATTACAAACAGAAACTAAAATAAATCAGAATATCTGAAATATTAACATATAGTAACAGAAATAATGTATTTCTTAAAAAGTCACTGAGAGCGGGCTTCGCCCGCCTTTTGCCAGAATCACTGTATTAGTTAAATCTTTCTAAGCGGGCTTCGCCCGCCTGGAACCAGAAGCACAGCTCACAGAGCTCAGCAGAGACCCACCGAGTCCTCCGAACTACTGCCCGCTGTTCGAAAACTATTTCACAAAACTGATGAATACTTGGACCGTGAGCGGGCCGAGACTTTCAGGTCTCAGCACGTCTGTTTATTTTTCTGCTGCTCCCAGCAGTTATTTTTTTATGGCAATTTAAAAATGAGGGCTGTTTTTGCTTTTGTGAAAAAAAATTCTCCTTTCTTCCATTAAAATCCTCTTGTAGAGGGTTGTGAAAGTCTGGACTCTGGGGCCGATTGCCGGAAAACCGTAAGGCCGAGGTCCAAAGCGGGCACATCGGGCGAAAGAGGACGCCCGCGGCTACGTTTTGAGGCCATTTTGGTTTGGTCGCCAGAGGCCGTAGTTTGACTTTTTTTCGGTGAACGTCCCCACAGGGCTCTCAGAGGCCTTAACGAGCTGAGCTAGAGTGCGGGCCAGGATCTCTGATTTTCAGAATTTCACTAAAACGTCAACAGCGATTGCGGGCAAACGGTGCGAGATCTGGCCTCGTGGCTCCGATATGGCGGAGGCCCGTCTTTCGTGTCCCGTTCAATGTTCGAACGAGGTCTCTCGGACGTCGTGGGCCTCATCGCTCTCTGTTTTGGGCCCGTTTGGCAGCGTTTCCCATGCATTTCCTATGGCAAATGTCAAGTCAGCATTTTTTCGTTTTTTGGGCGTTTATTAATAAGTGACGGAACAAGTATTCTGGATAGTAGTAGGTGGGCCTTGCCTGCAGCAGTGGCCCCCCTAAATAGTCCCACAAAATAATTTGGAAATCAGATAAATTACTAAAAGAAACAAAAAAAAAATCTGAATATCTGAAATTTAAAGCTTGAATTCCTGCTTTTTTCCTCTATATCAGCTCTGGTTTCCCCTGATTGAGCTCTGTTCAGCAGATGTTCCAGACAGAAGCAGAAACAGGAGTTCAGGAGCTGAAACTCCGTGTGTTTCCTCTCTCTTCTGGCAGGCCATGCAGATCATGACTGGGCTGCTCACCATCGGCCTCAGCGTCATTTTGACGATAGATCCTGTTGGATCCGTGTGGCAATTGAGGGAATCCGGCCTCTCCTATTGGATGGGAATTCTGGTAAGCCGGCTGATGACAGAGGAGGGGCCCCTCCCCTCTAATTAAAGGGGGTTAGCTTGTTCCTGGAGGTGGTCTGAGGTGTTCCAGCGCATTAATGGATGAGGGGGTCAGTATTTCAGGCTGTTTCTGGAACATGTCAGCCATCTTGAAAGCCGCCATATTGGATCAGAGGTGGGTTTTTCCAAAGAAGGTAGGAATAGTCTCAGAAAGAACTGAAGCCTGAATATCGATGTTTTTTAAGGAGCTCGACTCGCAGGACAGAACAGAAGAACAGATGTTGACCAGTTTTCTGTTTCACGCCACTTTTACGAGTCAGTATGGAAGGAAAAAGGACTCAGATCAGCTCAGTTTTTGATCTGTAGCTAAAAAGCTTAATGCAGCTAAAAAGCTAAATGTAGCTGAACTGTTAAATGTAGCTAAAAAGCTTAATGCAGTTAAAAGCTAAATGTAACTTAACTGTTAAATGTAGCTAATAAGCCAAATGTAGCTAAACTGTTAAATGTAGCTAAAATCGAAATGTAGCTCATAGTATCTACACAATGGCTGAGGGGCTCTGTCTTTCAGGCTGTTTCTGGACCATGGTGGCCATCTTGAAAGCCGCCATATTGGATCAGAGGTGGGTTTTTCCAAAGGAAAAGGGGTCATGTAGCATATCAAAAAAGAGAGGAATAGTCTCAGAAAGAACTGAAGCCTTTTATGTTTTTCGACGAGAGTGGCTTGGGGACGATCTGCTAAAGCTTATCTGTAAATATCGGCTTCTAGACAGAGTATGTAGTAACAAATTGACCCTCTAGGGGGCAGTGCCACTTTTGATGGGAGATGAGCATAGACTGTAGGCAAATAAGAAAAAGGTAACGGTTCGCTATGAGAGAACATGTCGCCGG